AGAGAGAGAGAGAGAGAGAGAGAGAGAGAGAGAGAGAGAGAGAGAGAGAGAGAGGATGACCAACGCACCGGCCAACAGGTAAGTCTCCAAACCCGCGGCTGGCCTCACGCTACTTGCATCGATAGGATGAGCAAAATTGACTTTGCCCTCCAGTCATATCCAACTGTTACCATGGTTACTGCCCTGGCAGTTAACCAGTCACTTCTAAGTTCTAACCATGCCCAAGTGCTAACCGCGCGCGGTTCATGTCCTGACAGTCAAACAGTTATACAGAAGAGGGAACTCTTCTCTGCACAAAATGGGCAAGCACTCTTTGATTATGTTTCTGCCATCATCTCATCATCATCAGCATACCATCTCATCATCGGCAGCATCAAAACCATCCCCTGCTTTGTGTATGGATGGCTTGGAAATTGGAATGCTTCCCCTTTTGTGCACAGAAGTTAGGCAGAGAACACATGATGACGTATGCTAGACTCCTGTGCGACTGCAACACCTGTGGAAGGCAACGTGGACTCTTTTTTTTTCTTTTCTTGTTCTTCCCCCACCCACCCCCCATCACGTTGGGGCCCTTTTGCCGATAGATGAAGACCATATTGGCTCGAACTAAACCTGCTTCTCCCACCCTCTGTCCTGCAGTGAAAGAGAGCAAGCTGGCGTCCTTGTTCTTTCCACCACCTTCGAATGCAGTCCATCTAAAGACACCAGGCTATGGACATCTGCATTGGCTCCCGACATTTTGCCGTCATCGTTGATCCCCGTCTTTCACCTTCAACCTTGGCTGCAACCATGGTTGATCCCTGCTTCTCCCACCCTCGTTCGTTCCGGCTTTTATCTCCCGAGCCGGCCTCCGTCCTGAAGTGAAACAGAGAGGGAGTTGATGTCCATGTTCTTTCCACCACCTTCGAAACAGAAGGCTACGGACGTCCCGCTCCGCTCCGACGTGTCACTCTCATCAATCATGCCTCTCTTCCACATTCCGCCTTGTCACTGAATCCGCGTTTGGGTTTTGACATATAACCATAGTTGATATCGCCTATCTCTCTGTGTTCCGCATTCCACACTGAACCATCCGATCTGCATTGCACTACGATGATCGATCTCCATCTTCTACACTCCCTCCACCTCCTCATCGGTTACCCATAACTCTTGAGCAGCGTTCCACCTTGTCGTCATCGGCTTTCGGCGTCGATCGTCATCCGCTTTCTGCCTCTTCATCTGGCTCTTCGTCTTACGAGTACCAACCTAGCCACAAGTTTTCTGCCTTGTCATCATCATCTGCTTCTGGCGTCACTCGTCATCTTCTTTCTGCCTCTTCATCATCTGCTCATCTGCTCATCGCACTACGATGATCGATCGGCGCATACCTGGACATTCGATCTGCATTGCACCACGATGATCGATCGGTTGCCCATATCTCTTCAGGAGCATTCCACCTTGCCGCAAGTTTTCTGCCTTGTCATCATCGGCTTTCGGCGTCGATCGTCATACGCTTTCTGCCTCGTCATCATCTGCTCTCCGTCTTACGAGCATCAACCTTCCATCTCCTCGCCAATCAAGTTGCTGCTTGGTCATCCTCTATTTCAAACACCACTCCATCTTGCTCAAGGAAGCTGTGCTTCGTGTGGTCATTCACCTGGGAGAGGGTTCAATCACAGCAGCGGCCAGCAGCCCAAACAACACAAGCGCAGTTCATAACTGTTTGTTTGTTTCTTCAGCCTTCTCATGGCAGAGAAAACTCGCAAATAAACTAGGCTATCAGAGTGGCCTGGGACAACTTGCCCGGCCGCGCCAAAAAAGTAAAATAAAAAAATAAATATATATTTTTAAATTTTCTACGTTTAATACTTTATTAATTTTTTATTTAAAATTTGGTAAGGATTTTCGATGTGACCCTGAGGCAAAAGTTGTTCAGTTTATTAAACTTTATTTTTTTTTTATTTTTTTTATGTGGCCCGATGGACCACGGATCAGATATTAAACTGACCAGAACAGATACTACACTTGATCTTAGCCAAAAGGCCGAGAAAGGTATGGGTTGGGTTGTTCAGTTTATTGTTCTGCTTAACATAGTTGTTTTTCAGAGTTTCTTTTCTTTTCTTTTCTTTTCTTTTCTTTTCTGTTTTCCTGGGACCTTCTTTGGCCCCTGCACGGCTGGACCGCCCGGGCAAACAGGGTGACCCAGGTGGCCCGACTGGTAGCCTAGCAAATAATAATAATTTCATAATTAAGTAAAATATATTGTGCAGTATGGCATAACGTATCGCACAGAACAACGATCATATTCTATATACCAAGTCTGTGGTTCAATCGCCCTTTGCTCTCCAGCCTCCAGCAGCATCGGCTGAGGGAACACCGAGTGCTGTGTTCGGCACTCACTGTATCTTTATAAGTTTAGAGTCTTTTAGACCCATCAGCCAGTCTGCTTCTTCGCCAACCCCGGGTTTGAACAGCTGGACAGGATGGCCGTCCGCCTGCTGCAGGAGGAGGAGCTTTGAGTTCCGAAGAAGTCAACGACAGGCCCGAGGGGTTGTCAAATCATCTGACGTAGGCACACTCAGAGAGAACACGCAAATCACACAGTTTACTCATAGAGAAAAAATGATTTGCACAGGTCTTAGATGAATCGTTCCGAACGAACACAAAGAGGTAGCACCATACGATCGTCTTCCCGCGGTCATCGTTCCTCCATCGCTAAGCTCAGCCGCTCCCATAACTTCCAGTCCTCTCTACCTCGCTGGCTGTCCCCGATACCGATATTTCGGCCGGTGCCAGCTCCAGCCTCATCAGGGGGTTTCCGTCCGGTGCCTATCTCCTGTAGTCAGCAGTTTATTTAAGTGTTCCTGGCCTGGCACAATATCAGCGTCCCCGTACTTTTCGCTTTTCCCGCTCATTTTCGTCCGGCATTTTCTAGTCCCATCCTCCTGGGGCCTCGGGGCCTCGGCCCACATGCAGCGTGTAGTGTAGTTTGTGCGCAGGGTGTGACAGGCCGTAGCCATCCAGAGGCCACAGATCGGACGGCATATGGCAAAGACGCGCGTTTTCTTTTTTTTTCTTTTTTTTTGTGGTGGGCCTCTTCCATTGATACATGTCATTTTCCCATTTGTTTTCCGCGAGGAGGGAAAGCAGCGTTTGTGAGGCTGCCGTGTAGTTAGCCACCTTCTGAAAAGCAGGGTGGCTAACTACACAGAGGGGTCTGGTCCGATGGCCTGAAAAGTTATGAAAAAGGCACGAAATAGGGCATGGGGGGGGTCGTGGGTCCAGGCAGCAGATCCGTGAATCTGTCAGTCTCCGGAGTGCAGACAAGATCGCCCCGTAGTGAGGCTGAAGAACACTCTTGATTTTCTCCCCTACCTCTGGTATGTGGAGTATGAACCTCAGTAAGGGCGTCGCGGCACGGGACACGAGACGAAAAATGAAACGAATGCATCTTCCTGCAGAAAATGGCCAGGTTCATCGGTTTGCTATAAATAGTAACGAGTGTATTATGCTACCTTTCGTGGGCAGATGCACTCGTTTCGTGTGCCGTGTGGCGAGACCCTAACTGTAGTGAGGCGTGTGGGATCTCTCAGTCTCCGAAGTGTGCACAAAACGATACTGACTCTTCCGCTGGAACATGAACAGATACATTGCCCTTTTTTTTGTCTTCTCTGCACGTGGAGAGTAGTGCAGGTAGGCCGAAAGTGAAGGGATCACAAAGGCGAGAGTTCGAATCCGCCGTTGCAAAAAAGATCATGTTTTTTTTTTTTTTTTTTTCCAGATACTTACAGTCTGATTCTCGTTTTTTTTTTCCAGATACTTAGTCTGATTCTCGCCTACTTGGGGTTCGAATCATTGCTCAGGAAATGCCTCTGGGCCGAGTGTGGGGATTTTTGTTTTTCCATGGGCCGGCCCTTTCTTTGGCCTGCGGAGATCAAAGGCAGCACTCTATATGGCCTCCTGCGAAGATCGGCCGCACCCTCACTTGCTGCACGATTTTTACAATGATGGGACCACCGTGACACATGGCGCGACGCCATGGCACAGACAATATTGCGGACGTACATGTCGCGCTCTCAGCTGTCACACCGCGTAGTTTTCAGGCACTACACGGTGCGTGTGGGCTGAGGCCCCTGCTTGGATCTTAACTTCGCGCTTGCATCCGTTTCCTTGGCTGTCCGATTTTCATTAACTCCCGCCCAACCTTTTTTCCCAAAAAGCGCAGCTGGGCTGTTTTATCGCGACAAAATTCCTTAGTGCCCTCCCGAACCAGTCCTTTGGGTGGCCGGTAATCCTAAGTTCTCTTTTGAGGGTTAGCAGTGGAATCCCTACTAACTCCTCACGATTCGTACAGTCTCTGATTCGGTGCAGCGTACCCATAACTGTAGCGTGTTTCTGTTTCACATCCGTATAAGAGTCAAAGTCTTGAGTAACCCTGTAGGTCAGTGATACATGCAAAGTTGTACAATGTAAGTACAACCAAGGATCCGCAAGGTGATGAAAAGGACTGAATAGACAATGCAGTGTTAGTGGAATCTCAACAAGCAGTGTACATCCTGATACATACAAAATGGCACATTGTAGCGCAGTGGAAGACTTGGATAAAAGTCCTGACCTGACCGGGACTGACAGGATATCCCATAATACTTCACACATGTGGGAGGAGGAGGAGATACCAAACTGTTGCATACCGTAATGGTGCAAACCAGAACAAGGACCGACCTCCCTCACATAGTACAAGATAGCGCAGCGCAATGCTAGCATGCCAATCAATGTGGCGATGCAGACTAAACATACATCATCATCATTACAAGTTGTGAAGGCGCCTGATGCTCACACAGGAAGAATGCGCCAGCCCCAAACATCCACAGACGAAGAGGAGGGGGATTAGACGAAGATGAGGAAGACGATGGGAATGTCGTCACACAAATGTCCCTGGTATCGATCCCAAATAGTCCCTCGTCAATGTCTCTATCCCAAAGTCGAGTCTGTATCCCAATGTCGTCAACATCCCCAACTCTCTCTCGCTCGTAGTCTGCTGCTGCCGAGAAGTCAGATAGTGAGAGGGTGAGGAAGAGATGGTTGACTGAGAGGAGGAAGAAGAACAACTCTCTCTCTCTCTCTCTCTCTCTCTCTCTCTCTCTCTCTCTCTCTCTCTCTCTCTCCTGTCATGTGCCAGGTACTAACCTCTGAAGATGGTGCCGTGCTGCAGGTACCTCGAAGATGAAGCTGGAGCTATGGCTCTGCAGGTAAGTCTCCCTGGCCTCCGCCAAATCTCTCTCTCTCTCTCCAGTACGACTCTAGCTCCTACTAGCAGGGCCTGGAGGGCCCTGTTTTAGGCTGAAACGACACACGGCCTGTGGGCCCTTGTTTTCAGGCTTTCAGGCTGAAACGACACACGGCCTGTGGGCCCTTGTTTTCAGGCTTTCAGG